CATATGATCTTTTTCTTCAGGGAAAAAAGGAAAAAGGAAGGAAAAAAAAAAAAAAAAACCACAAATTCACGCGTTCTATCACAGCCTTGCTTTCCGCGTCCCTTCTTCCCGCTTCCCATCCCCATTGCCTTTTCCCAGAGTTCCAGGCTCCATCAACGCCTCATACGCCGTCCTCACATGTGCGGGCATGCCTTCAGAGGCCGGCCGTCCAAGCACCCCGCCCTCATTAGCCACCCAAACATGCATGCTCCCACCAACCGCCTTAACTATGGGGTCGCCCTTCGCAAAGATGCCGACCTCGTAAAGTACACTGGACTTTCCTAGCTTTGCCACGCGGAGACCAACCTCGACGACACCTGGGTAACTCACGGAGCCGAAATAGTCGAAGTAAGTGTGCGCGATGATGGCGGCCTGTGGCGATCGGTCCATCGAGTACCCGCACTTTTCAATCAGATACTGGTTCGCTACGCTGTCGCAGAGGACGCCGTAGTAGGGGTTGTTCATGTGCCCGAAGACATCGTTGTCGTTCCTATATATCCTCACCACAAGGGGGATCTGTCGTTAGATGTGTTTGCGCATGGGGAGAGTAGAGACAGTTGATGGGCAGATTTCAATCGAATCAATCCCGGGCTCAGAGGAGGACCAGGTCGGTACGTGGGAGGTAAGGTAGGGAGGAAGGTAGGAACTCACCACCGCAGCCTATACTCCAGCCGGTATGGGTAGTCTTCTATCTTGCGTTTCCGCTTCGACACGATATCGAGGCCAAGCATTGTTCGTTGAAGAAAAGAGACCGCCGCTTTGCTGTGGGGTTAGGTCGAGCTAGTATTGGCTCTGATATTGTCGCTTCAAAAACCCTCGTTCGAAACGTATGTAAGGAGGACTGCTGGACCAAAGAGGGATAAACCGGCTCGAAAAGTGCAGAAAGGGAGTATTTCCAAATGACCGTTACACCCTTGCTGGAGAATCAAGTACGAGGTACGTGCGCACTACAGATCGGACCTTCGAGACGGAGAGACGATTAACTGATTGACCGGTTGCTCTCGAGGATCCAGTAGTGTTCAGCCGAGCGGGCGACGACCGGAGCCTTGTGGTGTATTTTTGAAGCTTCAATGCCTCGGCTGATGACATAAGAACACTGCTCACATGACGATATACAGCCTCGTCAGCCTCGCCGCTTCAGGCATGGGTAGTTGGGGAAACAAGTCCTCCGTACTCGGTCTAGGGGTGCGAAAAAGAAAGAGAGAGACTATGATCCATTGGGAAGTGGCATGCAGCAGTAAGTAGTAAAGAACCGTTTCATTAAAAGGAAACCAGTTGTTGTAGAGACCTGATCCGACTAAAAATACACCTGCGCTTGCCCCTATGATAGATCTATGTCCGAAATCTAGCCCAATAAATACTCTTTTCGCAATGCATAAACAGCGTCCCGAAATCCCTCATGAATCAAATGGCGTTCCTCAGTTTCTAAATGTGGCTCACAGATGTAAAGAAACATTGGTGAAGTCGTCTGAGCCTCGAGGGCCTCCGGCGGTCCTGCTTCGCGCTGTGCTGGGCAATACCTGGAGACCCGTGCTGCCTACGGGTCCTCCAACAGCCACACCTATCTCACTGGCAACATGGTTGTTCTTGGGGACCATCCTCTTCTTGTCCTTGTTGTCGTCGAACTGTGCCTTGGCCGCCTTAGCCATGTCGTCCGTAATAGCTACTGTGTAGTTTGGCGATTCCATCGATCCAGCAGCTGGACCCCCACCGCCTGGTCCGTCAATGGGGACCTTTCGCACCGCCGACAACAAGGCACAAACGAACTTGCTGCGGTGCTGTGCTCGGACGAATTCAGAGGCATAGTTGCCCTTATGCTGGAACTCGACGCGGAGTTCAAGCTTTGACAGGTCCGCAATAGACATCAGCTGAATTTCAACCGCCGGCGTAAAATCCCGTTTGTGTTCAGCGACGTATTTGAGCATCTCGCCACGGAGAGTCTCAATGTCCTCGAACGACGTCCCCACCGACACGTTGAGGGTGATTTGCTCTCTGAGCTCCTTGGACCGCGTCAGGTTCTTGATCCAGACGCCGTTGATAACGCTGTTGGGGATCTGGATCATCTGCTTCGACTGCACCTCCCTGAATACGGAATACAGAAGCGAGATCTTCACGACGTCCATTTCGACATCGCTGACGTTGATGCGGTCGCCCACGTCGTAGGGGTGTTTGATGAAGACGGTAATACAGGCGGCAAACAGCTCACCTGCTGTACTGGCGAACAGGAAAGAACAACCAGTGAAGGTTGTCCAGATTTGGGTGTAGTGATTGGCAAGGTAGTTCGAGAAGAAAGCGGCGTAGATGAGGAAGACAAAGATCAAGACGATGACAGCCAAGACACGGTCGAGGACTTTGATGGCGTCTTTGACATCGTTGGCCCCTTCCCAGATTGTCTTTCTGTCGTTTGCGACCTTCTTCACAAGTTCGATCATCTCTTCCAGGGTGAGGTCGCCGTTCTCATCGGCATCGACTTTGGAGTGGATATAGGCAGCCTGGGCTTCGCGTCCAGGCCCGAGCATAACGGTAATGGCGGCTTGATCCAATTTGGTCTCTCCAAAGTTCGTAAACGAGTTCCAGATACGTCGGGCAAGAGCTTCGGAGCTGACGGGCCGTTCGAGCGCCGCCTCCACTACCGGGCCGGAAGCAGTGGGCATGAGGACTTGTCTTCCGGCGATGTCGCTGACCAGATACCCGAGCACGGACGTCGCACTCGCAGCTGCGTTGCCTAGATTGGTCATGAAGACTGCCGTAGACTGGTCCTTGGTCTTCAATCGGCCGAGCCTGTCCTTTCGGTAGCCCTTGGTGTCCCAAATATCAAGGTCTTCCTCCACGAACGATGGATGGTTGTCATGATATCGTTGCCGCGAGACATCGTACATGGTTTCGATCGCTCGGCTGAGAGTCTTGAGCTCCTTGATGTTGTCGTAGAATTGTTTGCCATGGTAGTTTACACTGACCATCTGGATGAGCATTTTCTCGACCAAGTAGAGTGCTGAGACGCCAATGGTGGCTTTGAGCACGTTGTGCAACGTACTAAGCCATTTGATATTGCCTGCGTGTGCCTTGTGGAACTCTTTGTCAAACACGTAAATGAGCGAGTAAGAGGCAATCGACAGAATGGCCCAGAAGAACAGTGACAACGGGATTTCCACAGCCTTGAGAACCAACCAGTACTTGCGGATTCCGGTATGAATTGCTCCACCAACTGTCTGGAACACAATGGGAACAGCCTGGGCCAATAATTTTGCGATCCATAAAAAGACCCAAACAACTTCGATCCAGATAAAGAGCCCCAAGAGATGAATTCCACCGGGTTCGTCCTTGCTCGTAGTCTCATAGACGGTTGAAATGGTGTTGTTGTAAAGTGATGTGATATCGCTAGTACTATTGCCGTCCAGGGGGTCGATTTGTGTGACGTTCGAGGTAAGGATTGGGGTTGTGGATGTTGTCTTGAAATTGGAATGGATCATCTTGTCCTTGTACACCGTGGCGCAGAGAACAATAGGAATGGCCAAAAGAATAGCTACGGGGACGATGTAGATGATGTACCGAAGGAGGACATTCCTTCTCAGCCGCTGCCATTTTAGACCGAGCTGTGTTAACCCTTCATCGTCGGAGTCGCTGTCAGATAATTGTCTCTGGGGTGGATATAGACCTCTGTTTATGGGTCTTGAGGATTGCCGTACCATCTCGATACTGCCGTGAGCATGACGCGTTGACTGCTTATCCTGGTAGTCGGAGATGGCATCTTGGACCGTCACAATGGCGTCTTTAACGGTCATTTTGGATGGTCAGTCAAAGAGACGGTATGTAACTTGACCCGAGATGATTCCTGTCCGAGAAGCAAAGACTCTCCAACTCCAAAGGTCGAAGGGTAACACGGAGTATTATTTAATTGGGTTCACAATCGGGGAGAGCTTCATACCTCTCTAGCAGTCCTGCAAACGAGAAGACCGTTCCTTGACTGGCACAACTCCACGTCATGTTTTCATCCGCTGTCGGTGCCACAGTCCGAACTTGCTCCTGATGCGGCGTTAAGGTTTCAATTCAGATGCACCGAGAACAGTCACGGCAGCAGAGAACCAGCAAGCCACACATATACAAAGGAAATGGGCAGAAAGAAACTCAACACCATCCACCGAGCTATGACCCGACTAACTTCCAGGTCCCGTCCTTGGCTTGGCCCTGGAGAATCAAGATGCGGTGGCACGAGACCTCGCCTGGCCGGTGTTCGAGCATCCAGGGGGATGGGTCATGTACTGTACAGCACGATGGCGAGCCCCGTGAGTCTATCACACGTGGCAAACCAGGGGGTAAAAAGCACAGGTTCGTATGGTGGCACAAAAGTCCTCGGCGAGCTGTAAGCGAGGCTTCTTTGCTGAACATGGGCAATGGGCGAGATGACGCTGCGAGGTTTGCTCCAAAAGGGCAAGCACAAACTCACAGAGTCGATGTACGAGTACCCAGTACCTCTAGAGACCCCACATAGCCCTAGACCGTTTGGAAGCGTGGATGTTGTGTTTTCTAAGATAGACACAAATTTGGGAAAAGTGGATGCAAGGCTGGACCCACATAAGAAGCCCCTTTTCGCAATCACAAGTCGAGACCGCGTGGTTCTTTATGCAATTTCCACTTTTCCATTCTTATTCAAGCCGTAGTCTCCCTTTTCAGGAATCCTGGGCTGAAAGTAGACTGATATCCTGCTTTATCTGTTAGCGTCTCGCATGACTATTGCTCAATGGCCCCGCATCCAGCTGCCCCAATTCGACGCCACCACGGCGTCGCCGTTGAGGTCTCGATACAGTCTCTGTCAGGCACGTGGCAAAAAGAAAAAAAGCGACAGCAAGCTGCCCGAGGATGGTGCTCAATCATATGGCACGGGAAAGTGTTGGTATATGTGTAGGCAGGGGGAGCAGTAACAACATCTGCAGCAGCAACAGCAAAAAATGAGCGCATTTGCAATGGAAAGTCTCGATGGCTCTAAGCGGCAAGGCCACATCAAGATCACAGATGCTGGAAACAGTACATCTCCCTCAGAGAAAGCCAGCGAGCCACTACCAACACCTCCCGGCCTGAAGAGCTATCTACTCAATGCAGTCGAGAGATACTGGTTGTTCGAATTCTTCGGCTGGGCGTTGGCGTGTGGCTGCCTGGTTGGCACCATTGCGCTCCTTGCCGTACACAACGGGAGAGAAGCGCCGACTTGGACGTTGACCGTGGGGAGCAGCCAGTATCGCAAGACGTTCGGACTGACCATCAACACGATCATCTCTGTCTTTGCGACCGCGTTCAACTCAGGGCTTTTGATCCCTGTAGCCGCCAGCATCAGCCAGTTGAAATGGATCTGGTTCCAGAAGGGGAGGCGGCCTCTGGCGCATTTTCAAAAGTTCGAGTCAGCGGCTCGGGGCCCCTTGGGGTCTCTTATACTCTTGTGGACTCTGCGTTGTCGGTAAGCTATGAAATAGAAGAAAAACCAGAAATGACCTCTCCCCTTCACGGTCCTCCTCGTCGGTTCCTGGAGCTGACGCAACGCAAGACGTCTCGCGTGTCTAGGAGCTATCATCGTGATCGCCGCACTGGGCACTGGGTTCTCCTTCCAAGCTCTGGTGGTCTACCCGCTGCAGCCGGTTCAGGTGGACGTTGCGAGGATCCAGAGGACGAACCTCAACTGGGGCAGCAACTCTCTGAGTACGTGTTTCCTCTTCCCTCTCTCCCTCCCTCTCTCTCTCTCTGTCTCTCTGTCTGTCTGTGCGCGGCTAGATGTTTTTTATCGTCTTCTCTCTCGAGACTGATTGAATGATTGCTGGGCATAGCCACTAGTCTTTCCAACGACATGGTCGGAGCGATATATTCGGGAATCTACCAGTACACGGACGTGTCGCAGATGAAGAACGTATCCTGCTCGACGGGGAACTGCACCTGGCTGGAAACGTACACGTCGATGGCCGTGTGTAGCGAGTGCCACGACGTCACGGCCTCGCTGAAGAAGACCTGTGGCACGGCCCAGGTGTCATCACAGGCCGATGGGGTTCAGTCGGTCGTCAACATGTCGCTGCCCTACTGCAACTACTCGCTCCCCAACGGGCTCAAGGCGTCCGGAGTTCCGTCAGTCAACTACTCTTCGCTCGAGATCTCGAGCAGCACGGCCGATTCAGTGCATTTCGACGCAGACTCGGCGCTCTCGGTCCTCTCGACCATCTGGACACAATGGGGCTCCGGCGTGGCTGACTGGGGGAATCTAGGGAGCTTGACGCCGGCAAGCGACATCATGGGCATCGCAAGCACCCAAGCCATCGAGTGCGCCATCTACTACTGCGTGCAGAAATTTAACGCCTCGGTGTCCAGGGGCAAACTCAGCGAAAGGGTCATCGACACCTACGCAAAAGGCCGTTTCACCTCCCCGGACGTCTACGTGCTCGAACCACCGGCGTCCTTTACGAACCACTCGAACAAAGGCTACGCTAACGTCTATCAGAGCAACCAGCTGGGGGCAATCCGGGATTTTTTCTCCACGCAGTGGGCCGGCCAGGTGCTGGAGTTCGGGACGCCGCCGACGAATACACCCACAACGCCGATCGCGCAGTTCCTCTGGGGGATATTCTTCGAGCAATCCCCTTTTGCGCAGTTCCTGCAGATGTTTTCGAGCCTGGCCAAGTCCATGAGCGACAACATCCGGTCGTATTCGATCGGGTCGGACGCGGTCCCCACGGCGGACGGCGCCACTTACCAGGACAAGCCGCATGTTAAGGTGCGCTGGGGCTGGCTGGCTCTGCCTGCGGCGCTGCTGGGCCTCGCGCTGACGCTGCTGGTCGGCACGATCGCGGCGACCGCGCACGAGAAGACACTGCTGTGGAAGGGGTCCGGCCTGGCGGCCTTCTCGCACCCTCTGACCAGCGACGCGCGCGCTGTCGTCAGCGACGTTAGGAGTCCCCGGGAGGTGCTGATGATTGCGGAGCAGATGGACGTGAAGTGGGAGAAGACGGACCGCGGATTCAGACTCGTCAGATAGCAGCGAGTAGCAGAGAACATGTGGCCGGGTGGGAGAGATACAGAGTAGCTAATATCATGGTCATTCATTCGCAGCAACGAGACGACACGACATAGCGCAGCGTCAGCGCCGTTCCTCCCGGGCCACCCATCATGCCTTGTTGGCGGTGGCCATCACTCCCCTCCAGAGCCCTCCACTCTTCGAGACACGACCGGTTGAACTCGTCCGGGAACTCCCACATACAAGCGTGTCCGCCCCTTGTGGTGCGCCAACGACTGCCCGGAATCAACCCGTGCAACTCATTGGACAGCGCCACAGGTATCAGAATGTCTCCTTCGCCCGCCAGCACGACGACCTGCATCCCTGCTACTGCCGCCGCCAATCTCCCCACCTCGGCCCTGGTGTCGAATTCGGTAATGACGTTCAACTGCGCGAGGTAGCTGCGGAGGCCCATGTCGGTGTCAATACGAGCCATCTCCTCCTCCATGGCGGCGAGGTCGTCACGGCGGGCCGGGTCAGCGAAGAAGGCGGGCGTGAACGCCCATAGGACGACGTCGCGCATGACGTCGGCAATAGACATGCGCAGCGCCATCTCGCGCCACAGGGCAAACATCCTGCCGCAGAACGGGCCGGGCGCGGCGTACGTGCACGCCAGCGTGAGGCTGGCGATTTCGCCCTCCCCTTCGGCCCCGGGCACGCAGTAGGCCAGCGCGTAGGTCTGCGCGATCATCCCACCCATACTGACGCCCATGACGTGGTACGGCGCTGCGGCGGGCAGGTTCAGCGCTTTGACCAGGCTGCGCAGATCAGATGCCATGGTAGCCGCTGTGTAGACTTCGTCGTCGGTCTCCGGGCGCGACGACAATCCCACTCCGCGGTTGTCGTACGTGAGCACCGTGTATCCTGCCTCCGTGAAGGCTGGGACTTGTGCGGCCCAGGTTGTCTGCGGGTCCGCGAGGCCGTTTATCAACACGAGCCACGGTCTGGTCGTGGGCGTGGAGGGCTGGTGGATGGTGTAGTTTATCCGTATGGATGGGGAGATGTCGTGGTAAGGCATCTTCGAGGGGGAACTTAGTTAACGCTTCTTCGGGTTCGCCCGGCCCTTCCCTGCCCGTTCCTTTCCTTTCTGTCCTTTCTTGGTGTGTGTCAGTGCCAGTGTTAAATTCTTGTATGCCCTTTCGACTTCAACGGAGTCACACCAGCAGACCGCATAGACCCAGATTTAAAGCGCCGAGACCTAGACAGGACCGTTACATTAGAAGCTGTGCTGAATCGAGGTACATCGAGATAAGACGACAATGCTGATGCCGATGCTTATATATTACTCTCTAGATAGATGGATGGATGATACAGTACTGTAGATAGATACCGACCGGTCCGGAAATTGGCCGAGGACCTATTTACGACTCTTACGACATCAACCCTTAGAACATGCACAACAGGCTTTGATGAGACGAAGGCGCTCATCTCAAAAACCCCGTCTTTATTCTATTCCATTACCGTTTCTATCAGACATCAAGACCGAACATGGACTGTCACCTCTAATTCTGGCCCAGCAGACGATAGACGACTGGTATAGTACATGCAGATATCTATCCCCATTTCCTGACGCCTCGCCAAATAAAGCATGGCATGAGCGAAAAGCCTTGCCCGCCCAAAGAATTCTCATCGATGATCTCGTTAATAAAAAAAAAGACAGCCAAAGAAAACCATGAAATCTCTTTTTGTACTCCAAAACCTCTCGCCAGGGAGAAAAACCTTCATCAGACATTCCCGACTGCTTGGAAACAATTCGCTTTCCTTCTTTCCTCATTGATCTGACATTTCAAGCTTTTGTACATTTCCGTCGTCATGGCCACCGCTGGTCCAAGTGTGGCTCCAGTAGGTAACCGTATAACTGGGCCAGCGATCGGTGGCGAGCAGCAGTTTGCATCTCTCGGAGTTGAATGTCTCCTTGGTGGCCCAGCAGACGTCTCGGAAGGCCTCGCCATCCCGCTCCCACGAGTAGGGGTAAATGTATTGGAAGGGCAGCACCTCGATGGAATGTTTCAATCCCTTGCGCGGATTGAACTGCTTGGCCGTTGGATTCTTGGCCACATGCTTGTCGAGTGCTTCTCCGGCCCATTTGCTCTCGGGCTGGGTGTATTCGTTGATCATGTCGTACAGCTTTCCGGGCCCTGTGATACCCTCGACGTTTTCCATGTCACCACCTTCTTCGCTCATCCTCTTCATGACAGACTCGAGCACGATGAGGAAAAAGGGGTGGCCCGGCGTCGACGCCATCCAGGCATTGGGGATCGAGTTTGAGGAGCCCGTGTCTGTGCCCATTCTGCCGAAGAAGGCTTTTCGGCCGCTCTTCTGCATGTTCTGCGTGGATTGGGGTCGTGGTTTGCCGTGCGAGACAGTCGTCACGTTGTATTCGGCGAAAAGCTGATCAATTGGCTGCAGGCACTCAATGTCCAGATCGGCATAGACTCTACATCATCGGTCAGCCCGGTCCTGCACCCTCGTGTTGTAGTGGATACTCACCCTCCGAACATGTACATGTAGAGGTTTCGCACCAAATCCGCCCGGTAGATGACGCTGGGCAGGCCCAGATATGTCTTCAGCAGCCACGGAAAGTGTGTCCTGACCAACTCTTCATTGTCCTCGTCCGTCCACAGCACCCATTCCCAATCAGGATGTTGCTGCTTGCACATTGAACTCCAGCGTTCAAACTTGGCCGGCAGCTCGGTCGAGGACCAGCTTTGGTGCATCAATTTGGGCATGGATTGCAAGTCGCGCGATATCGGTCTCTTCATCAAATCGACCGGACTCAGATTCTTCGCCTGCTTCTTGTGCGGGTGCTTGAATCCGGATGTAGAAGATTTGTGGCCGGTGCTGCCACTGCTGGAGTCGCCGCTGCTGGCCGCGCCGTAGGGTTGGTAGGACGATCCGGTCATGTAAATGACTGCGAGGGCTGCGAGGACGAGGAATACAATCCATCGAAGCGACCGGCGCGATCCATAGAGCTGTTGTAGCGGGTTCCCGTTTCGAGGCGAGGGGCCCAAATCCATTGTAGGAGAAAGGAGCGACAGAAAGGACAGAAAAGATAGGGAGACCTGGGTTAGAGATAGGCCTCTCGAAGCTGCAGAGGTCAACTAAATGAGCGACAACGAGTTGGCAACATCCGGATGGCAAGACAAAGGAAACAGCGAGCGAGGACAACAACGGCGGTCTCACAAAGGACACATTTTCCCGCCGACTGATGCTGGCGCCCAGCAAGGGAGGAGCAAGAGGAGTCTACCAGGGACGCCGAGAGTTTCTGGCATATCTCAGACCAAAGTCTAATCCTTCCAGAGTCGGACAAGTTCAGGGGCAATTGTGGGCTGGGGGGGTAGCCATGGTATTTCGTTATCTGGTGCGGTCTCGAATCTCGGCCCCCGCGAGCTCTGTGTAGTACTGGGGTGAAGTGGCTTGAGCTGACATGTGTGTCTACCCTACGGAGCACATGGGGTCGAGGTGTACGAGGGACGGAGCGGTAATCTCAGACTGATGTTGATCGTCTGTTACTCTTTGACTTGAGTCGAAAAAGGGAACTAGGGAGGTAAGTGCTGTAATTGAGCTGGGGGATGTTGCGCAACAGAAAGATTCTCTTCCATCCTTGATCCCTGCCTGTGCCTGAGGATCCCTGCGTCAAAGGAGTGTCCGGATTCGCATATCGTCCACGGCCAAGTCTCAAGTCCCCGTCAAGAATGAACTAGACACTCATTCTGCCTAGTTTCTGTTTACCGATCGATCAATGCATCATACATCTAGATTTACACACGCGTCTTGACGCGTCACAGGTCGGAGAGGACAGCCACAGTAGGTACGGAGCAAAAGAATAGAACGTCAATGGCTGGTTCTAAACCAACGGGGTCTCGCGTAGCTATACAAGACAGATCCAAAGTTCTTTTCCTCCCCAACTGATTAGTAGTACCTCGTATCCTCATCCAACTCGTGGCTCTCAAATCAGCCCAAGACGGTCCCAGAGTTCGTAGTGGCGGAAATCAATCGCTATCAAGGGAACCGCGGTGGCTGGTGCGCTTCGACATTGGGTTACACCATGTCCCTAGCCAAGGACGGGGGGTTGCCAACGGCAGGGTACGTTGCCGTGTCTCTGGGGCTCGCACAAACTTCACCAGGTTCAACCAACAATCTTGGTTGGAAACATCTTGTGCGGGATGTTGCTCAAGGCGTATAGCCCAACCGGGTCGCAATTCGACGTCACGCTGACGATTAGGTGTTGCCCCTTCGTTCGACATTCGCCGTTATCCAATTCGAGATCCGAACGCCGGAGACGGTGGCGCGCAGAAGCCGGCCTGTGGTGGCCTTGTGTAGTTCAGAATAAAGGGCAATCACCATAGCATGTCATCCGTGTTCGGGTAGGTTCTCGGGTTCCAGGATTTCAATGTGGCCGACCGCTTTGCCAATCTCCTTGATACTCATTGGTGGCGCAATATCAGGGTACTGGCTGTTAAAGATGGTCTTTCCGTGGAGGAAGTTCGGAATGTTCTGGCGGGTAGGATAGACAAGATGTAGTGAGCTACCTTGCTCGACCACTCTCTCTGAATCTGGACCATATCCGATGTCGCTCCATTTCGCAGTGTTCGCCGTGGGCCGAGATACCCCCACGAGTTGCGGCCATGGTGATACACAAGTGAACTCGTACTCTTTGTTCTTGCAAAGATTGGCCAAGCCCCAGTCGACCGGACTATTGTACGGCACCATGGAGAGATGATATAGAGCTTTCCGTGCGCCTTTTTGGGAGATGGCGTAGGACGCCGTGCAGACTCCTCCTTCCGAATGAAAAACTATTCTCGTTCGATTGTCGCCTCGAGGGCCGCTTTCCCAGTGGCTCATGTCAGGTTGGTCGACATTATCGACACGGGCCTCGGGGGGCTGGACGGTATAGTCATCTGGGATAACGAAGAATCGTCGGTTGTCGTCAGGAAGGACCCAGGTGCCGCAGTGGCCTATCCACAAAATATCCCAGTCAT